GTTAAATCTGTATTTTTTTAAAACCTGAACGTGAGAAATTTTTTAGCATTATTTTTTCAAATATTATATGCCCAATTATCTTTCTTCTCTCCTTCTGGGACTCAATTACACTTATTTTAGATTGTCCTTTACACTTATTTATATTGTCCCTTAGGTCCCTGAGGATTTGGTTTTCATCCTCTTTCTCTCTGTTCTTCAAACTGAACTATTTCTTTTGTCTTTATCTTAATTGAACCTTTTTTTTCCTTCCTCCAAACTTCTGCTAAGCCTATACAGTGTACATTTTTTTGGTGGATACTGTACTTTTTAGTTCTAGAGTTTCTATTGTTTACGTTTATATTTCTTCCTGAAATTCTCCATCTGTTCATTTTTACCTATTCCCCTTAAGTCCTGTTGTTTTTAATTTTGCAAAAACAAAATCTTATTAAACACCACAATAAAGAATGAAGAAAAAAAAAAGCTCAAAAAGGATTAACTTGTACACTGTTCAAGAGATAAATCTTGCAAAACATAAGGATCCAATGTGGGTGTGCATTTGCTCATAAGATGGTTGCTTTTTGTTAGCCACTAAGTCATGTTTGACTCTTTGACGACCCATGCACTGTAGCCCGCCAGGCCCCTCTATCCATGGGATTTCCCAAGCAAGAATACTGGAATGGGTTGCCATTTCCTTCTCAAAGTCCTGTTTATTATAGTTGTTTTAAGTTAGTCTTTACTACTAACACTAACTTCTGGGTCATCTTGGGGTCAGTTTCTATTAATTGCTTATCCCCCTAATCATGGGTCATGTTTTCTTGTTTTTTCAACTTTCTAATTATTTTTGGTTATTAAATATTGTGGATGATATACTTGTAGATATTATGCATTATATAATCTTCCTCTGAAGGTTGCTAGTTTTATTGAGAAAGTCAACTTTTTAACATTATATTTATTTATTTTAATTGGAGGCTAATTACTTCATAATATTGTAGTGGTTTCTGTCATACACTGACATGAATCTGCCATGGGTGTAGATGTGTTCCCCATCATGACCCTCCCTCCCACCCCCCTTCCCATCCCATCCCTCGGGGTCATCCCAGTGCACCAGCCCTGAGCACCCTGTCTCATGCATTGAACCTGGACTGGCGATCTGTTTCACATATGATAATATACATGTTTCAGTGCTATTCTCTCAAATCATCCCACCTTTGCGTTCTCCCACAGAGTCCAAAAGTCTGTTCTTTACATCTGGGTTGAGAAAGAGTCATCTTTTATGAACTCAAACTTCAAATCACCTCCTCTGTTCTGGAAAGGAGTTACATCTTTTCACAGCTCTTTAGCCTTCCGTTGTTTGCTACAAGGTCCCTTGGAGTCTCCGCCACACAAAGTCTAGGAGTCACTCAAGTGTATTTGGGCTGAATTTACACAGAGATTTTTCTGCGATTTCCCCCTTACTTTCCAGCCTTGCTAACAGTCTTGAACTTTGTTCTCTGACTCCATAAGCTGGTAAGGCTGTCTCTTTCTGTACATACTGGCAGTTAAGGTGGGGTGGTACTAGGCAAAAAGTCACAGAAACATAAATCCCATCTAATACAGTCTTCCTCTTTCAAGGAACAGCTCTCCTTCAGTTTCTGCCTGCTTTTGGTTATTCTTCAGAACCTTCAAATATTTTTGTTTCATATTTGATACAATTTTAATATCTGCAAGAAGGATAATCTGATACAAGTAACTTCACCAATACTAGAATTTCAATTATAATTTTTAAGTGTGATAGTTTTATTGGAAATAAAGATTATTATAGTCATATGTATCTTGACACAGTCATCTCTTTAAATGTGATAGCTTTATCAGAAATAAAAATTATTATAGCCACATATATCTCGACATAGTTATCTCTCCTACTCCTTATGCACAGCTGCCAGTATAAAGCCAACAGTCAAACAGTTTCTATACGACACTACTTCCATGTCTGAATAAGATTTTCCATAGTATAATGAAAATAATGAGGATTTTGGAACCAGAGAAATCCTTTACTAGCTGCATAAACTTGAAAGATGATTTACCCTTTTATGCTTTTCCACTTATATTATGAAAGTGGTCATTTAGAAATCACAAGGTCATTAAAAAGATCAAATGTTTATATTTCAAAGCATATAGTAAATGTTAAAAGCAAACCTTGGTTTCTTTCCCTTGGACCTTTTCCTCCATTCAAACAGTGAAAACAGGGAATTCCTAAAACATGACCATCTTTTATTATTAAGAAATGCAAATCAAAACTACAATGAGGTATCACCTCACACCAGTCAGAATGGCCATCATTAAAAAATCTATGAACAATAAACGCTGGAGAGGATGTGGAGAAAAGGGAATCCTCCTACACTGTTGGTGGGAATGCAAACTGACACAACCATTATGAAGAACAGGATGGAGAATACCCAAAAACGCAGGCATAAATCGACCACATGACCCAGCGATCCCACTACTGGGCATATACCCTGAAAAGGCCACAATTCTAAAGGATACACGTACTCCAATGTTCATGCAGCCCTATTTACAACAGCCAAGACATGGAAGCAACCTAGACGTCGCTTGACAGACGAATGGATAAAGAAGATGTGGTACATATGCACGATGGATTATTACTCAGCCATAAAAAAGATGCATTTGAGTCAGTTCTACTGAGGTAGATTAACCTAGAGCCTGTTATACAGTGAAGTCATAAAGAGAAAAACAAGTATCATAGACTAACGCATATATATGGAATCTAGAAAAATGGTACTGATGAATCTATTTGCAGGGAAGGAATGGAGACAGATGTAAAGAATGGACTTGTGGATACAGTTGTGGAAGGAGACAGCAGGATTTATGGAGAAAGTAGCATTGACATCTATCCACTATCATGTGTAAAACAGATGGCTGGTGAGAAGTTGCTTTGTAATACAGCGAGCCCAGCCTGATGCTCGCTAAAGACCTAAAGGGGTGAGATGGGGGAGTGGAGGGAAGCTCTAGAAGGAGGGGATATATGTAGAATTGTGGCCGATTCATGTTGTTTGTTATATGGCAGAAACCAACACAGTATTGTAAAGCAATTTTCCTCCAACTGAAAAATAAATTTTAAAAAATGACCATCTTTTACTAGCTATTCAATTAGTAACATTTAATTAAGTTTCGGTTATAAGGATGAAGGAACACAAGGAGAGAGAACAAATCTCACTCTATGAACAAGCATGAGACACTGAATCCAGGCAGGATCCACATCTCCACAGTTTCTCTGGTTAAGCAAGTGCACAGGGTGGAGGAAGGCAGGCAACACAGAGGCATCTTTGTCACAGAATTTCTCCGTGAGTAAATGGGAAAGGTCTTTCTTTCTATGGATATAAGTGGACAATAAACCGCAATAATCTAACAAGCAAAACTGCTATTTAGAAAAGCAACACAGGTTTCAAAACTGAAATAAATGAAAAGGTAAACATGAAAAATAACTTTCAAAGCTTAAATCACACATTCAACTAAATTTTAAAAAACTTATTGTGCTGCTTCTTGTTTATTAAAGTAAATTTTGTTCCTTATAAAAAAACCAAACAAAATTGCATAGGACTATATTTTATAATTTTTAAAGATTAACAGATTATGAAAATTTATCATGCATTTATATGTAGTTTTACATGATTTTTAATATACGAATTTTTTTCTTCAGTCTACAGACTATTGGGATTTTAGGTTATTTCTAATTTTCAAAACTATAAATTATTCATAGATGATTTTACACACCTCTGATGATTTCTTGCCTTTGTCACTTGTAAATATAATCAGCATACAATTAATATCCTTACCTAAGCATTACTTAAAACATTAACAAGTAAGGGAACAAAGATGAAGCCTTATGAAACACAGAAGAGGATGCATTCCAGACTGCATCAATTCATTATTGTTCCTTAAATATAGGTATGTTGCCATCTAATTGCATCATCTTCCGATTCATATTTCTCTATCTTTTCTACAAGCATATATGAGACTTTATTATATCCAGCTTCACTATTTCTACAGAATTCATTTGACCTTTGTTTCTAGTATCCTATCAAAAAAGCATAATCAGGCATTAATTGTTCTAAATGAATTTGTATAGGTTTTCTATTCTAAGTGTTTAGAGAAAGGTAAAGCCAACACAGTTGTTCTAAAGAAAATAAAGTGTTAAGTATTGCTCTCATAGACAGGAGAGAGCTGAGAAGGTAACTGTTATGAGAAACAAGAAAGAATCAGAATTGTTAGTTTTAAGACTCTCGTTATTACATAAGGTCATATACCACTAACACAATACACATTCTCGGTGTTAAACCACTAAGAATAAGCTAAAGGAGAAAAGCCAGAAAGGAAAAATAAACATATTTAAGTAATGACACAGTGTGTCTTTTGAATGTAATATTTTAATGTTTTTGACTGTTTTAATAGTCAAAATAGTGCTAGTCATAGTCATTGAATAGTCTTAATAGTGCTAGTCACGATCATGTATCCATACCCATAAGCAGTGAATAAGAACAGAGGTATTTCCTTAGGCTTCTTAGTCAGGGCTACACTGGTATAAACCAGAGGTGAGCAGAAGTTTTCTGTAAAGAGCCAGACAGTAAATATCTAATCTTGTGGGCCACATAGTCTCTGCTATAACTACTCAACTCTGACATTGTAGCACAACAGGATCATAGACAACATGCAAGTAAATGGATGTGGATGTATCCCAATAAAACTTTATTTAAAAAAAACACGTTGTGATTGTGGGCTGGATTTGCTCTGCAGTTTGCTGTCCACTAGTGTAAACAATGTGAACAAATACCTAGGGCAAAATCATACTTAGCAATCTTCTGAACATGTCCTAAAACTGCATACAGTGGGCAAGAAATATTGTATAGATCAGTGCAATTCTACTGCCTTATGACATTACAAGAATCACAGTTTCATATACAGCGAATTCAGTATATAGTTGAAGCAATTTTTCTATATATCATCAAAACCTGAGAATGATGTACCTGTGCATAATCACCAAAAGGTTGAGAATAAGCAATGCACTTCTCCAATGTGTGTTGTGATTCATTTCCCTGAGAGATTGTATCCAGAAGGTTGCTTGCAATTCCAGTCTTCTGTACAGTGGTTTTATTTGCAGGGGCTTAAGGCAAAATCAATATATAAATTTTAGTTAGCTTGTTTTATTATATTACAGAGTACAAAACCCATTAATTCAGCATATTCTCAAATAGAACACAAATTTTAGTTCGCCAGTAGAGATCTACATTTATAATTCTTGTGTGCATGTGCTAAGTCACTTCAGTTGTGTCTGACTCTGTGTGACCCTAAGGACTGCAGTCCACCAGGCTCCTCTGTCTATGGGATTCTCCAGACAAGAATACTTGAGTGGGCTGCCGTTTCCTCCTCCAGGGAATCTTCCCGACCCAGGGTCGAACTCGCATCTCTTACATCTAACCTGCATTGGCAGGCAGGTTCTTTACCACTAGTGCCACGGGAAGCCCTTTATTATTCCTAGGGGAAAATATATACATATACAGTATATGATATTATCTAGTTTGTTTAAAACAACTAAAAATGGAAACCTGCTCTATGGGTAATAATCTTGATGGAAACATTTAAAAAGTATACGTCTAATCTCTAAAGCAATGCATTCAAAATGTAAATTAACCATTCTTATTAATGTAACTGTTGCAACCATCAAATTTTAGACCAGATAAAAATAGAGTAGGCATGCCAGAAGCCTACTTTCTTGGTGGCTCAGATGATAAAGAATCTGCCCGCCATGCAGGAGACCAGGGTTCAATCCTTAGGCTGAGAAGATACCCTGGGGAAAGGAATGTCAATTCACTCCAGTATTCTTGCCTGGGAAATCCCAAGGATAGAGGCGGCTGGTGGGCTACAGACTACGGGGTCACAAAGACTCAGACCTGACTGAGTGACTAACACTTTCTTTCTTTCATACCAGAAGCACATTAAATTTTTTCTGGCTCTAAAAAATTAAAAATTAAAAAAAATTAAAAATTAATGCTTAGGTTCAAGAGGATACTTCATAAAGTACAAAGAATGTATATTAAAAACAAAATTCATCCTTCATCTCTTTTCATTCAATTTTATTCTTTTTCCCAGAGGTAACAGCTTAGTATTTTCTCAGATTTAACTTTATGCATTTACACATTCAAGTACATGCATACATAAAAGAATACACAGCTTTAAATAAACATAAATGGAATCAATCTATGAATACATTTGCTTCTTGTCTTTAACAATTTGCTTTAGAGATCATTTAATATTAGTATATGTAGTGTTTCCTCAACTATATTTTTCACTTTATGACAAACTATTTAATCAGTCCCCTATGAACACATTTGCTTCTTGTCTTTAATAATTTGCTTTAGAGATCATTTAATATTAACATATGTAGTGCTTCCTCAATTATATATTTCACTTTATGACAAACTATTTAATCATTCCCCTATTGATGACCATTAAGGCACTTTCTAATTTTTCACTATTGAAAACCAATGCTGCAGTGAATATCTTAGTGCCTAGAAAACAACACATTTGTGATTTTTTTCTTAAAACAATATTTGAATTAATAGTTTTAATTTACTAATTGAAGGCATGAGGAGGTCCTCTAAAAATGTAAATGAGAATTCCACTTCTGTTGATTATTAGTAACTAATATATTGGGGGTATTCGGCAAATACTCTCAATATATTAGATAATATAGAAGACTGAACTTCATATTTTAGAAATATAATTCTATATGTATTATAAAGAATTATAGCACTGCCAAATAATTCCTTTATCCAATTATTTTCAATCATGATCCCATTATAATTCATAGCAATTCAATATACATATGCTTAATAAAATATTATGAAAGATGTTTTCCTTAAATAAAATAGAATGCACTTCAAAAGTTTTAATTATTCTTTCAATTAAAGGACTAAGGTCATAACTCAGACTTCAGCTGGTCAACAGGCAATATTCGCTTTCATTAAATTAAAAAATTAAAGTAAAACTCATCATGAAAAGTATTCAACAGAACTCCAAAATACTAGTGAGCGTCTCACTTACATGATAGGCACACACTGGGCAACACACTTGCCAGGTTCAAGTATGGGTTTTTACTGAGCCGGATTTCTTTTGGTGGCTCTCCCAAGAGTGAAGTCTGATTCTTAGAGGCAGCCTATTTACCAAAAAAAGAGAGTGAGTGCTTAATGAGAGGTAAAAGAAAATTAAAATGCAGAAAGTGTAGAGAAATACTTATTCTTCAATAAATGTGGTTTAGTGTAACAAAAATCTGTGAAACAAGGTTTAAAGCTATAAATTTATGAAATATTTATGGATACTGGTTAAAATGATCACATTGCACCTGCTACTATTTTCCCAACTAGTTTTTTAAAAAACCATTCTAGAACCATAGAACTTTAGAACTGAAAGAGAACTAAAGGTCATCTTGTACAACCTTCTCATTTGAATCAGGAGAGAATTCATGCTCACAAGAAGAAACAAACCCCATACCTTATTTCTAGATCCCACAAATTGCAACTAAGACCCAGTGCAGCCAAATAAATAAATATAAATAAATATTTTTTAAAATTACAAAATATTGCTGAAAGAAACTAAAGACATAAGTAAAAGAACATCCTATTTTCATGTATTAGAAGATTTAATATTGTTAAAATTTCAATACAAACCAAAGTGATCTACAAATTCAATATAACCCCTATCAAAATTCTAACTTTCGTGGGCAGAAGAAGAAAATTTTATCCTAAAATTGACATGAAACATCAAGGGACCCCAAACAGTGAAAATAATATTGGAAAAGATGAACGAGAATGGCAGGCTCATACTTTTTAAATTTTGAACTTATTACACAGCTGTCAGTCAGTTCAGTTGCTCAGTCGTGTCTGACTCTTTGTGACCCCATGAATCGCAACGCGCCAGGCCTCCCTGTCCATCACCAACTCCCGGAGTCTATTCAAACTCATGTCCATCAAGTCGGTGATGCCATCCAGCCATCTCATCCTCTGTCATCCCCTTCTCCTCCTGCCCCCAGTCCCTCCCAGCATCAGGGTCTTTTCCAATGAGTCAACTCTTCACATGAGGTGGCCAAAGTATTGGAGTTTCAGCTTCAGCATCAGTCCTTCCAATGAACACCCAGGACTGATCTCATTTAGAATGGACTGGTTGGATCTCCTTGCAGTCCAAGGGACCCTCAAGAGTCTTCTCCAAGACCACAGTTCAAAAGCATCAATTCTTCAGCGCTCAGCTTTCTTCACAGTCCAACTCTCACATCCATACATGACCACTAGAAAAACCATAGCCTTGACTAGACGGACCTTTGTTGGCAAAGTAATGTCTCTGCTTTTTAATATGCTATCTAGGCTGGTCATAACTTTCCTTCCAAGGAGTAAGCGTCTTTTACTACAGCTCTAGCAATTGCAATTGTATGTTACTGGCATAAAGACAGACATATAAACCAAAGGAATAGGATAGTGAGCCCAGAAACAAATTACTGCATATGTGATAAAATGATTTTCCATGAGTGTCAAAACTATACAGTAAGGCAGTCTTTTCAACAAAAATGGGAAAACTGGATAGCCACATAAAAGAATGAGGTGGATATTCACCAAACACCATATATAAAAACTAACTGAAAATGGATCAAAGACCTAACAGTAAGAGCTAAAACTAAAAATCTTAAAAGAAACACTTATGTAAAAAGCTTCATAATGCTAGATTTGTCAACCATTTTTTGGAGATGACCCCAAAAATAGAAGCAAAAAAAAAAAAAAAAAAAAGGATCATATGTTGGGCTACCAAACAAACCTTAACAAATTTAAGAGTACTGAAATCATATCAAGGGTTGCTCTGACTACAATGGTAGCCTAAAAGGAAAACTGGGAAATTCAGAGATATGTACAAATTAAATAATATACTCTTGAACAACCAATAAGCCAAAGAAGAAATCAAAGGAGACATCAAAAAGTATCTTGAGACAAATGAAAATGGAAACACCACATATCAAAACTTATGGAATGCAGCTTTAAAGAGAAGTTTATGGCAATAAATGTCTACATGGAGAAAAAAGAAAGACCTCAGAGAAATAATCTAAATTTACACGTCAAGTTACTAGTAAAAGAAGAACAAACTAAGCCCAAACTTAGCAGAAAAAGGAAATAGTAAAAATTAGAACAGAAATAAATGAAATAGCACTATAAAGACAGATCAATGAAATTAAGTGTAGGTGTTTTAAAAAGATAAAATAGATAAATTTGGCTACACTAACCAAGAGAAAGAGGGGACTCAAGTAAATATCATTGACCCCTGAACAGTAAGAGTTTGAACTGTGCAGGTCCACATGTGGATTTCTTAAAAGCAAACATAATACCTGTATTGTCATTTTACAGATCTTCGAATTAACTAAGTGTTGGAAAGTTTCTGTTCAATTAGAGATCACAACATGGGATAGAGATCATCACAAAGGGTCCCCAAGGGACCTCCCTGGTGGCCCAGTGGTCAACAATCTCTCTGCCAATGCAGGGGACATGGGTTCAATCCCTGGTCCAGGAACTAAGATCCCACCTTCTGTAACTAAGCTGACAACTAAGCTCATGTGCCACAACTACTGAGCTTGCATGCTGCAACGACTCAGCTTACATGCCCCAGAGCCTGTGCTTAGGCACAAGAGTAGCTACCACAATGAGAAGCCTGCACACCACAACCAGAGAGTAGCCCCTTACCACAACTAGAGAAAGCCCGTGCACCACAACAAAGACCCAGCACAACCAAAAATGTTTGTAAAATAAATAAAAAATATTTTTTAATAAAAAAAAAATGAGTCCTGATTCTATCCAAACTGTTCCAGTTACATGGATTTTTGAGTGGTTGGGTGTCAGTACTCCTAACTGCTTTGTTGTTTAAGGGTCAACTGCAGTTGCAAATGGAAGAGGAAACATTACAACTACAGACACCACAGAAATACAAAGGACCATAAGCGATTATTATCAACAAATACATGCCAACCAACTGGGCAACCTAAGAGAAAAAATGGATAAATTTCTAGAAACATACAAGCTACCAAGACTGAATCAAGAAACAGAAAATATGAACAGACCAATAATGAGTAAGGAATAATCAAATACCTGACAACAATGAAAAGCCCAGGACCAAGTGATTTCATTGGTGAATTGTACCAAAGATATAAGGAAGAATTAACATCAATCCTTCTGAAACTCTTCCCAAAAACTGAAGAGGAAGGAATACCCCCTAACCTATTTTATGAGGCCAGCACTGCTCTCAAACTAAAGCTAGACAAAAACATTACAAGAAAAGAAAAACACAGGCCAATATCCCTGATGAACACAGATACAAAAATCCTCGACATAGTACTGGCAGTCCTAAATGAAATACTAGCAACCTGAATTAAACAACACATTAAAAGGATTGTACACCATGATCAAGTGGGATTTATCCCTGGGATGCAACAATGGTGCAACTCAGGCTAATCAATAAATGTGATACACCATGTAAACATAATAAAGGATAAAACCATGACTGTCTTAATAGATACAAAAAATACACTGGACAAAATTCACATCATTTCATGATCAAAACTCTGAACAAATTGAACACAGAGAAATCTATATACCTCAACATAATAAAAGCTATATATAAAGAACAACCCCACAGTTAACATGATAGCTTTTTCTCTAAGATCAGAGAATGACAAGGATGCTCACATTTACTAATTTTAGTCACCATAGTATCAGAAGTCCAAGCCAGAATAATTTTGCAAGAAAAAGGAAATAAAAGGCATCTAAATCAAAAAGGAAGAAATCAAACCATCTCTGTTGGCATCCATCGCATTTCTATATACTAACAATGAACTATTCAAAAAGAAATTATGAAAACAATGCTAGTTATAGTACCATCAGAAAGAGTAAAATACTTTGGAGTAAATTTAGCCAAGGAGGTAAAAGATCTATATATTGCAAACTATATGACTCTGATGAAAGAAATTGAAAGTTACACAAATAACTGGAAAGATATCTTAGATTTACAGATTGGAAGAATTAATATTATTAAAATGCCCACACTGCTCAATGATCTACAGATTCAAAGCAATTCCTGTCAAGATTTCAATGGCACTTTTCACAGAATTAGAATAAACAATCCTAAAATTTATGTGGAATTTCAAAAGATCCTGAATAGCCAACACAATCTTGAGGAAAAATTCAAAGCTGGAGGGATCATGCTTCCTGGTTCCAAACTATATTACAAAATTATAGTCATCAAAACAGTATGGTACATGCATAAAAACAGACATACTGATCCATGAAAAAAATACAGCCCAGAAATAAAGTCATATATATGTGGTTAACTAACATTTGCAATGGGTGTCAAGAACACACATGGGTAAATGACACTCTCTTTAATAAATGGTATTGGGAAAACTGCATGTCCGATTACTCTGGATCCTTATCTTAAATAATACACAAAAATGTACTCAAACTGGATTAAAGACTTAAAAATAAGACCCAAATCCATAAAACTACAAGAAAATATAGAGGAAATATAGACATTGGTCTTAGTAATCAGTTTTTGATATCATTTCATGGTACGAAAGTATTTTGTTATACACAACAAAAGCAGGTACTAAGCAAGAGCTAAAAAGCTAAACTGGCATACTACAGTCCATGGGGTTTCGGAGTCAGACATGACTTAGTGACTGAACAACAAAAAACTAAAGAGTTTCTCTACAGCAAAGGAAACAACAAGATTAAAAGGCAACCTATGGAACAGGAGAACATATCTGCAAACCATACACAGAAACTCAATAGCAAAGAAAAAAAATAATTAAAATATGGCAAAGAATCTGAATAGACATTTTTGCAAAGAAGATATACAGGTGACCAATACACATATGAAGAGGCTTTTAACGTCACTAATCACTGGAGAAACACAAACTCAAAACTGCAATGAGAGACAATGTTGGTGAGGATGTGGAGAAACCAAAACTCTCATGCGTTAAGGGTGGAAACATAAAATGGTACAGCTGCTGTGGAAAATAGAAAGGCAGTTCCTTAAAAAATTAGAAAACATCTTGATGCTGGGAAAGCCTGAGGGCAGGAGGAGAAGGGGATGATGGAGGATGAGATGGCTGGATGGCATCACTGACTTGGACATGAGTTTGACCAAGCTCTGGGAGCTGGTGATGGACAGGGAAGCTTGGCCTGCTGCAGTCCAAGGGGTCACCAAGGGTTGGACACAACTGAATGAATGAACTGAACTGATGTTCCATATGATTCCTCTAACTCCACTTCTGGGTAAATACTCCAAAGAACGGAAAACAGAGACTCAAACAGATATTTATATACTAATGTTCATAGCAGCATTATTCACAAGAGCCTACTGATGTTGAAGCTGAAACTCCAATACTTTGGCCACCTGATGTGAAGATATGACTCATCTGAAAAGACTCTGATGCTGGGAAAGATTGAAGGTAGAAGGAGAAGGGGTGACAGAGGATGAGATGGTTGGATGGCATCACCGACTCAATGGACATGAGTTTGAGTAGACTGGGAGTTGGTGATGGACAGGGAGGCCCGGCATGCTGTAGTCCATGGTGTTGCAGAGAGTTAGAAACGACTGAGCTACTGAACTGAACTGAAAGATGGAAACAATCCAAATGTCCATCAATAAATGAATGGATAAACAAAATGTAGTATATAAATACAACGGAATACTAGTCAACCTTTAAAATAAGGAAATTCCAATATAATATATGCTACAACGTGGATGACCACTGAAGAGTAATGTCGTCATTAGTCTTGTATCATTCCACTTACATTGGGTATCTAGAATAGTCAAATTCTGAGACAGAAAGTAAACAGTGCTTATTGGGGGCTGGGGAGAAGGGAAAATGGGAGAGTTGGTGAATGGGTACAGGGCTGCAGTATGGCATGATGACAAAGTTCTGTAGATAGATAGTAGCAATAGTTGTAAAACAATGTGAATGTACTTAACACCACAGAGTTGTACACTTAAAATTCAGATCTCTCCCCTATCTCTCTGAATCAAATTCTCAGGGCTGAGGAAGATAGAGTCCAACCCTCGACACCTATAGTGGTGATTCTGACAGAAAGACAGAATCAAGAATCACTAATCAACATAATGTAAAAGATGCAGGTCTAAAACTCTGCATACAAGTTTAACCAACTGTTTAACAAAGTCCAAAATCTTGCTACATAATTAGAAAACATATTTTGAAACTATCTGGTCCAAGCAAGCCCCTATTGTCAGGAGAGAAGAATCACTTCTACAACAAAATGTACAGGTGTTCACCAGGGTCTGCATAATTGCCTTCAGTGATACAACATTCATATCTTAGTGAAAGTGTGAACTTTGTTTTAAAACTTCAACTGTTCTGAGTTATATTAAGCCTAAATCGGCTTTACTGTCATACTTATTAGACTAATTCTGCCCACTAAAGAAACATAAAATACTATGTGACTAGTCTGTGAATTTATTTTTCTTTTAATGTCAAATAAACTGACAGCTGGTCAACCCTTGCCAAGATCCATGTATCTATTTTCCTCAATTGTTCATCACAGGACTTGTTTTCTAGGCTCTGTCCTACTTCATCTGTCTTCTACCAGATACACTTTCACTTGTCCATTATGTGAATCATCTCAAGTCCAGTTTTTCTAAAGACCCTAGTGCACAGGTCCCCAGCCTTTGGGATCTAACGCCTGATGCCCTGCGGTGGAGCTGATGTAATAATAGAAATGCAGTGCACAAGAAATGTAATGCACTTGGATCACCTCAAAACCACCCCACTCCCCTCATCCATGGAAAAAACTGTGCTCCATGAAACCAGTCCCTGGTACCAGAAAGGCTAGGGACCGCTATCCTAGTTCTTTCCATGCATTAAAAAGTCTGTGCAAAAAGAAACAATATTTATATATGAGTTTTATTTAACTTCCCTCAATAACTTAAGCAGTTAATCCTGCAAATAAATATTCAAAATTCTTCATTCTATGAAGAACCACCTTAGCTTTCTCAATGGACAATAATAGGTATTCTATCCATACCTCCTGTCATGACTAGGTGACAACAAAACCTCTTACAAAGTCAATATTATCATTTTGATATTTGAATACAGCCAACTACAAGAATTTTTTCCCTCATGTGTCACTTCTAAATCAAACAGTATTTTTTGCTGTTGTTTAGTCTCTCTGTTGTGTCAGATTCTGCGACCCCGTGGACTGCAGAATGCCAGGTTTCCCGGTCCTTCACCATCTCCTGAAGTTTGCTCAAAATGGTATTTTAAGATACAAATAAAAAACTTAAATTAAATGTACTTTATTCTACCTACCAATTATAATATTTACAAATGTCAGTGGTTTATGAGCCAATAAATTTTGGGTAAAATCCTCCAGAATTAAAACCAAGATTAGATTCTTTTGAACAGACCAGAGACTAATTACTAGCTTTGAAATTTTTCAGATAAACTAGAATTTATTCTACTTTTAAATATTAAAATAATACTTAATTAGCTAAAAGAATATACATTTTAGAAATAATATTGTATTTTAAAGAACAACATTATCATTTACTAAGAAATTCTTTTTTTTAACTAAGAAATTCTTTAAAGAATATTATATAATTAGATAAGAATGGTAATCCTATGCTTTCCTAAACTACAAAATTTTGAACTTATAGTACCTTATATTTGAAAATTATGCACATTTCAAGGCTTTTAGAAAAGCAAACATTTACAGGAATAAAGGATTCATATTTAAATATTTTATAATGACAGATTTTAAAAACATTTTACACATATGTTTTATTTACAAACTGGCAAGTAATTAAGCAGAATCTCAAACATCATTTGGCATAACTTATCAAAAGATAGATTTTTGTTTATAATAATAGCTTTTTTAAAGGATCTAATATTTTCTTCTTTTGAGAAGCAAATGTATACTATGAAAACAGTCAGCATGTCATTGACATAGGAATTATGTAGTTTGTAATCCATATTTATATACTTTAAGTATACTATCAACTTCCTTTGAAATACAAAAATAGTTCAGATTACTTGATACTTCATAAATTAAACCATCTATAAAATAACCAAAAAATTAAATACTCTAGAATTGGAATCATTTAAGATACAATTAAAAAGGAATATATACATATTCCTTGGTAGTATACACACACATGTAGAATACATATACACACTTCATGTATATACATGTGTGCATTTATATGTATGTGTATGCATGCATGTACACACTCTCACACACACACACACACACACACACACACACACACACACACACACACACAGAGTTTTCTTACCCCTGAACTTATCTCCAGGCCTTTTGGCTGACTTTGTTGTTGCTTATGATGTCCTGTGAGCAAGCCTCCAGCAATAAGGTTTGGAAAGCTCTGCAGATAAGTCTGTGACCCTGAGAAATTTCCTTCTGCCACTCCCACCAAGGCTGGCTGTTTCTCCTGAGTGCTCCCGTGCCCTGGTCCAGCTTGTCCAGCAATGTGCTGATTTGGAAGGAATGGTAATATGCCCATGCCAGTTGTTATAGTTGTTTGAGTTGGAATCAAATTAGATGCTGCTGTGAATCATAAATGCAAAAAATTTTGGTTAGATGAGGCTTATTCACAATAATCCTTTTGATTTTCTCAAGCTATGGGCAAAATGTGCAGAAACCTATTTAAAAGGTGAGGTTAAAGGTTGTAAATTAGCAGCATCCTGTATGGAAAAACAAAAACCTCTAAGAGTAATCATGCTTTTCCCTATATATGACAAACCCACAGCAAGCATCACCCTCAATGGTGAAAAATTGAAAGCATTTCCCCTGAAATCAGGAACAAGACAAGGGTGCCCACTCTCACCACTACTATTCAACATAGTTTTGGAAGT